TACTGATTCAACAAATTACCTGTCTACCAGGCCAGCTACTTATCGAACAAGTTGCATATATCTTATATCTTATATATATAAGATAAATATTCATGATTTTTTCCTGATTCATAGTTTTATTTGCTCTCTTCACTTTGTTACATCCATTCATAATCCTCTTGCCTTCAACCATCCATTCATTGGCTCTTAATAAATTGGCTCTTCGTTTGCGATAATTTTCTAATATTCCATTTCTTTACATTTATTTAGTGAATTAGCGCACTTTTTTCGCTGCATTTCCAGAATCTAGTCTTCATCGATCTCTTCGTCTTTCCTTAATCATGGGGCTTTTACACGTTTTTCTGTATTTTCAGCCCATAAATTCGCATAGCCTTCCTCAGCCAGGCGTAAATAATATCTGCCTTCAATCCGCTCCCGCTTATGCCCGTCGCAATTCTTCCCAGTTCTGGCCTTATTACAACTGCCAAGGCATCGAGATGCTTTCACAATCAATCTCCTCAAGGATCATTTCTACTCACCATTTGGCCACCAACTCTTATGCTCCCTCCAACCGAGAGATTACGTATCAACCTCCCGGTTTCATCTCATTGCCAGTCCTCCCCTTTCGCCATTTACAGACTCATTTCACTGCAAAGGCAAGCATACAAAGACTCTATCCAATGCATACAGGCACGGCCACAAGCACATTTGTAGATCTGCAAGCTCATGCATCATCCGTTGGTCCTTTTTGCGCCAGCCTCTCGGGCGTCATATCCTGGTTGTCGGCTTCCCTAGTCTTAATTAAGAATATGTCATCTGGTGAGAACTTTCTCAGACCTTTCTAACAGCTCTTATGCAAGTGGCGGCAATCACAAATATCCATGCCTACACACACATACACACACACATTCACACACGTACACGCGACTCTGTCCGGCCCAACAAAGGAATGCACCTTGTCAGCCCAGCTTCGACTCCCGTCAGTCCGAGCACACTCGCTCCCACCTTCCACAGGCTGCGATGAATGAGGCGACAGATGATTAGACAAGGACGCGTCCGGCTACCACAATACCGAGGAAATCAACTATGCGGCTGTAAGAGTTAGTAAGAGTCGAGAATTACAGACAATATTAAAGTGACCTCCTGCCTGCTTCCATCCAGATTTAAGACAAGGGAATAACCATTTTAACGGATAAAGTAAAACGGCATTTAAGCCATGGAAATAGTTCTTTCTTTCTTTTTATCTATCTCTCTCTTTCTGCATATATCTATTTATATAAAAAAAAAGAAAAAGACAAATAGAGAGAGAGAGAAAGATATAAGGAAAGAAAGTGGATATTTTATTGTATATATGAAGACCAAGATTACATCATTTTTGCAACTTGATCGTGGCGTCAGAGAGACCTTGCTGAGGGTACCTAGTCTTGCGTCCTCTGCCGGAATATTCGTGAGTTCCAGCAACGGACCATCAACTTTGTGCATTCCAAACGTTTCGTCGCCATCGTAGTCGACAGCGTCAATGAGAGGTGCCATCATCAGCACAGAATTACAACTTGTCAAGATGACAAAGTAAGGCAATCTCATTGACCGATTTTCTGTCCAACCGTTGTGACATCATTCCTCGTCCCTATTTTGTATTGCTCCATATCGCCCAGTTGTGGCCCAATTGGGTGAATGGGTAAATGGGCCATATGAAGTGGAGCTGAGAATGGGAAAAAATAGGGTTTGAACAGGAAATTGGTCAAAAGGAATGCTTTTACTTGTCACTTTGATAGGTTGTAACTCTGTGCTGACGATGCCGGCGAAACGTTTGGGAATGTAAAAATGTCCGGTGCTGGAACTCACGAGAACGCAGGACTAGGTACGTTTCACAAGGTCTCCCTGATGCTCCGACCACTTTGCGAAAGCAAGGTCAAGCCAACATGAATATTTTATTGCAGGGTTAGTACAGGCCAAGAGTAACCTGTAAAATGATAATTCAGAAGATAATTAAAATCCTTTTTATTTATATCGAGTGAGTTGGTTTTGAAACTATACTAGCAGGTGTAATTAGATATCGAGTCGCCATGGGGGTCGTTTACGTTGGTGCAAGTAAGGAATGATGACAGAAATTTTTACAATAAAAGTAATAGGCCTCATGATTGTATTTGAGTTTATCTAATCCAGCCTCCGAAAAGACATTCTCAATGAATCAAACTGGCCTGCGTTTCATCAGCACATCCAACGCCAATGGAGGTCGAATTGTGTGCGTCAGGAGGTAGTACGTCTTTTTTCCACAATTTTGGCTGTTGGTCCCAGGAAGTGTCCTGTTCAAAGCAAACCATACCTCTTTCAAATCCTATAATAAGCGGGAATGGTGTCGATAGAGCAAATCTGTATATTCGTATGATTGTAGGGTTTCGAGACTACCATTAAATCAGTGTAATGAGATGTATTCACCCTATTTCGTGTAAGGTGATGA